CCCCCCCCCCCCCCCCCCCCCCCCCCCCCCCCCCCCCCCCCCCCAGGAGCTGGGGTTGTACGGGGAGAAGCGGGAACTCCGCGCTTCTGTGAACGATTCGGGGTCTTTGGGGACTGGGAGGAGCGAGCGGGGTGGTGGGAGGCCTACGGCTGAGTGACGTCTGGATCCGGGGCAGTGCGGAGGGCCGGGCGGCGCTGAGGGAGCGGAGGGGCGGCGGCGCCTCGGCGGGCCGCGAGAGGGCGCCATCGCGCGGCGGCGGCGGCGGTGTGGGGTGGCCATGGCCCGGTGGGGCCCCGCTCAGGTACGGGCGCGGCGGGCGGCGGGCCTCCTTTCCACCGCGGTGCCTGACGCCGCGGGGAGCTGGGAGCGGGACCCGCCGCGGCGGGGAGGACGGGCCCGGGTCGGGCCCCGCCAGCGCGGGGAGGGCGCGGGAGGGCCCCGCCGCGTCCCTGACCTCCTCCTCTCCCCGCCCGCAGGAGCCCGAGTGGGGGCCCGACGCCTGGCAGCCGCTCCCCCCGCAGCCCCCCGGCCCCGTCGCCGTCCCCTCCGAAGGGGCGAAGCGGCCGCCGGCGGTGCACGAGATCTCGCTGTGGACGGTGGTGGCGGCGGTGCAGGCGGTGGAGCGGAAGGTGGAGGCGCAGGCCGTGCGGCTGCTGAGCCTGGAGGGCCGCGCGGAGACGGCCGAGAAGAAAATGTCGGAGCTGGAGAAGGCCGTGCTGGAGGTCGGCGGGCAGCTGGAGCGCCGCTGGGCCGCGCTGAGCGCCCTGCTGCGGGACAGCGCGAGGCGGCTGGAGCACGTCGAGAGGCAGCTGCGGAACAGAGCCGGCTGGGCGCCGCGGAACGGACTGGGAACTGGCGGGGATGAGCCTCAGGTGACGGGGGGAGGCGACAGGGTGAGGGGTGGGTCCCAGGGCGCGGGGGATGAGCCCCAGGGAACGGGGTTGAGCCCGAAGTGATGGGAGATGTGCCTTAGGGCACGGGGGTGAGCCTCAGGTCATGGAGGTGTGTCTGTGGTGTGAGGGACAAGCGCCAAGGAACGGGGGATGAGCCCCGGGGCACAGGGAGTGAGCCTCAGGTAGTAGGGGTGAATCCCAGGGCACAGCGGATGAGCCCAGGGTAACGTGGGACGAGTGCCAGGGAACAGGCAGTGAGCCCAAGGTAACGGGGATGAGCCCTGGGGCACGGGGCATGAGTCCTAGGGAGTGGAGAACGAGCTCGGAGTAACAGGGGCCAAGGACCAAGTGTAAGGTAGCAAGGGTGAGCCCTGGGGAATGGGGTCCAGCCTCAGGAAATCTGGGACAAACTTCATCCAACGAATGTGTGTAAGGCAGTGAGGATGCGCTCAAGGTAACGGTGTGGATGGAATGCTCTTGTGGGTGTTGTGCAGGGCGGGGCAGCAGGGATGTGGCTCCTTCCAAGCTTTGCCTTGAGCCCTTCCAGCTCCTCCCCATCTCCAGTGAAAAAAAGAGAACGAAGTACAGATGTAGCCCTGCTGAGTCCTGCTAGATGCCTTGCAGGGTAGGATGCCTTCCCATACATGTCATGCTCTGATGTGATGGGGACTGCCCCAGGTTGATGGCGTGGATCTGGAGAAGGAGCTGCAAACCTCCTGGCTGTTAGGGGAGAGGCCTCAGGCCAGGGCATGGGCCTTTCCCCAAGAGCTCTGTGCTGTCACACAGACACAGGGGGGCTGTGTGGGGAGAGACGAGGCAAGACAGCGCTCAGGAGGTGCCTCCTGCCATTCCAGGTCCCTGCGTCAGGTGAGGACGATGCTGCCTGTTTGGCAGAGCAGGAGTGGGGCGGTGTGGACAGCCGGCAGCAGGAGCTGTACAGGATGGAAGTGAAGGGGAGCTACGAGGCTGTGGTCTCTCTCGGTGAGATTCATTCCCTGTGCTTGTGTCAGACTGTCATATCCCATGCTGAACTTTGCTTTGCATAGGTTACTCTGTTATCTGGATATTTGGAGAACAAGCAGTGAATGGCAAGGCCTTGGCACCGTTAGGGTTTGGTCACAGGTGACAGCTGTGCGTCACATCCTCAGCCTTTGGTGGTTCTCAGCACTGGGGGAACGTCGTGCCTCGCTGGCACGGCACTCTGCAATCCTGTCTTCCAGTACAGGTGTTCCCCTGCACACATGCACCACCCTGGAGGAATTTGCTGGGAGCGGTCCTAAATTTTAGCATTGCTTATTTTGGGCTGAAATTTTAAAACGGTGATAAAGTCCGAAGTTCAGTTCTTGCTGAGGTAACTAAAGTCAGTCACCCGGCGTGGCTGACATCAGCCTCCTTGCTCTACCTGTCCTGCAGAAGCTGTGCCCAGGCCCCAGCCGTGCAGGAGCAGCTCTTCCCTGAGGGGTGCTGGTGTTGAATCATAGAATCATAGAATCATAGAATCACAAGGTTGGAAACGACCTATAAGATCATCCAGTCCAACCGTCTCCTCATCACCATTGCCACCACCAGCACTAAACCACATCACGCAGCTCCTCATCCAGACGCCTCTTGAACACTGCCAGGGACGGCGACTCCACCACCTCCCTGGGCAGCCATTGCACTGCCTGACCACTCTCTGAGAGAAAAAGTTCTTCCTTATGTCCAACCTAAACCTCCTCTGGTACAACTTGCGGCCAATACCCAAATGTCCTGCTCATTGCCTGGGAGAAGAGGCCAAATCCCTCTTCACCACAGCCTCCCTTCAGGAAGTTGTACAGTGCAGTGAGGTTTCCCCTGAGCTCTTCTCCAGACTGAACAATCCCAGCTCCCTCAGCCGCTCCTCATAAGGTTTGTGCTCCAGACCCCTCACCAGTTTCGTTGCCCTTCTCTGCACACGTTCCAGGGCCTCAATGTCTTTCCTGTAGCGAGGAGCCCAAAACTGAACACAGTACTCGAGGTGCAGCCTCACCAGTGCTGAGTAGAGGGGGTTGATCACCTCCCTGCTTCTGCTGGCCACACTGTTTCTAATGCAGGCCAGGATGCTGTTGGCCCTCTTGGCCACCTGGGCACACTGTCGGCTCATGTTGGTGTCCGGGATCAGCTCTTTGCACATCTGCTTCTTCCCCCAGGGCCCGGGGACACCAGTTCCAAATCTGCTCTGCTGTTGCCAACTGAGGATGGGGAGGATTCAGCTTCCAGGACCCACGGGCTGCTGGAGGAGGGAGCTGTGTTGGGGCACGGTGGTGGCGGTGAGTCACAGCAGTGGTGGCATTGATGGCACTGCAGTGAATGCCAAGGATGGTGGGGAAGGGTTGTGTGCAGGTTGAGTGAATGGAAATTGAAAACGGAGAAGGAAAATCAGTGCCGAAGGGGGAAGGAAATCTGGAAGAGACCACACCAAAACTCTAAGCCCAGAGCAGCACACTTGGCAAGAGAGGAAAAAGCGTGGGCAAGGCTTAGTGTGAGAGTGGCTCTGTGGCCTCTTCCTGCTCCTGGAAGGTTTTGCTTTGGTCATTTCCTCTAGATTTACCCAACTAATCTCTGCCGTTCCTAACAGAGTTCCCTCCAGGACAGAGGACTCTGCAGCTGCACTTTTGCTTTCATGTTTTCCTGCTTTGGGTTCTTTATGAATATTACATCATTGCTCCACTGAATGTCCCCAGGCAGCCCCCAGCAGACACAGCGCCCTTCTGCCTTGTGCCCTTCTCCCCCTTTGCTCGTGGTAGATCCCTCTTGCTCCATCTGTAGCAGCACATTTGCTGGTTGTCTGCTCATGTCTCACCTGCCTGCTGCAGGGGAAGGCCAGCTTCTGCTCCACTGCTGGGGATACAGGCATGGGAGAGCTTTATTTTGCTGGGAATGAATTACTGTTTCTCAGCAGGTGAGAAGATCGTGATCAAGACAGAAGAGCAGCAGCCGCAGGAGGAAGGACTGGAAATGCTGGCCCTGCCACAGGTGTCCTCTGTGAGGCTGGAAGAGGAGGTTCCCCTGGGCCAGGAGCCGCCGGTGCCTTGGGAGAGCCACGCCGTCATGGACGAGCAGAAGGCGGCAGCAGAGGGCTTAGGGGAGCTCTGCAAACACGGGGCTGCTCAGCCTGACTTCAAGCCTGCAGTCATCCCAGTAGAAGCTCGCCCAGCCCCGGCCTTGCATTTCCCATCAGAACACGGGCACGGCACGGAGACCGAGCAGCCATTTGCTCTGCCCCAGGGGATGCTGCTGGGGGAGGACGCCGCCACAGAGGCCGCCTCGACGCAGGCTGGCGCGGAGGAGCACGGCCCGCCTGGCGTGGGGGATGAGCCCCGTGTGCCGCCACCACCGGGCTGGAAGAACGTCCGGCTGAAACGCAGCCTCCTGGCGCGGCAGCAGAGCCACGCGAGGAAGAGCAACGGCTCCTTCATCTGCACGGCCTGTGGGAAGAGCCTGGCCCACCACGCCGCTCTGCTGCGGCACCAGCGCCTGCACACGGGAGAGCGGCCCTTCCAGTGCCCCGCCTGCGGGAAGAGCTTCAACGAGAAATCCAACCTCAACAAACACTACCGCATCCACACTGGGGAGCGGCCCTACTGCTGCCCCGCCTGCGGCAAGGGCTTCATCCAGAAGCACCACCTGCAGAAACACCAACGCATCCACGGGGTGCAGCTGCGGGGCGGCTGGGCGGGACGGCCGCGTGCCAGCGCAGCCGGGGAGCGGCTCTACCGCTGCATCGAGTGCACGGAGAGCTTCCCCATGCAGACGTTGCTGGAGGAGCACCAGCGCCGGCACACCCAGCAGCGGCCCTTCCAGTGCAGCGGCTGCAGCAAGAGCTTCCGCCACCGGCAGTCCTTGAACCACCACCAGAAGGTCCACGCCGTGGCCAACGCTCCCGCTGCCAGCTTGCCAAACCGCGGGCCGGGGACGGACCGCTGCAAGCCGCTGACCCAGGATAATCCGTAGCACGAGGGCTGCAGATGGCATGGAAGGGGCGGCGTTTCTGCAGGCGGAGAGGTGCGGCAGCCTGCGGTGGAGGGATGCGGCGGGCAGCCGGCATCACAGCCCCACAGGGATGAGGATGGAGCCGGCTGATCCACTGCGTGAGCACGAGGAGACCGAGTGGCCCTGGACCCACCGGAGCTGGTCTGGTGGTAGGGCTGAGCTGGGCTGTGCTGCTGCCCGGTGGAAAAAGGCTGAGCCAAAGAGCAGCTCGGTGCGTTGGGCACTGTGGGACGGGGAACGGAGCGCTTGAAATCAGGGTTACTTCAGTTCGTAACAGCGTTGAGGTTGGCTGGGGAGTGCGGGTGCCCAGGGAGAGGCTGTTGTTGCTGGGACAACCGGAGTCACCGCACAAACGGGGAGAGGTTTGGATAAAGGATTGGACTGACGCCATCTCCTGTTGAGCTTGGGTGTCGATGGGGCCGGAGCCACAGCGGGATCACTGCGGTACTGTCCTTGCATGCCTGTCACCCCACGTCCCCGCCGAAACCCTGTGCTGTCTGGCGTCACTACATGGGTGCCGCTGACCGCCTGGGGTCTCAGGCCCAGCTCTGAGCCTGGCTACAGAGATGCAGAGCTCCTATTCACAGCCCCATTCAGCTGCAAACTGCGGCTCTTGGGCAGCATTAGCACAACAAAGCCGTTATCTGCCCTCTGCTCTGCCCCATGGCCTGCCAAAGCTCCATCGCCCATGGGCAGCCCCTCCTCCTCCTCTCCTCAGCCCAGCTTTTGCGATTTCGGTCCTGTCACACCGTGTCCCAGGTGCCGTTGCCGTCATGCATCCCAGCACAGACGCTGCACTTGCAGCCCAGAAGCCAACCGTGCTCTGGGTACAGCAGGTCAGAGTACCTCTGCTATGGGGGCAGGCTGAGAGCTGCCTGGATGCAGCACTGGTTGGGCAGCACTGGGTGGCCCCACTGTGAAGGATGTGGGCACAGCACCAAGGACTGATGGCCACGGCCACCACGGTGCCTCCCAGCAGAGGGGATGCTGAGACTGGACACCCATCCTGGCCAGGTAATGTGTGGTAACAGCAGCCGCGTGGGACACGGCATGACGGAGGGGACAATGGCGTCCTAGGAACGTCGTAGGATAAGGGGGATGACAGTGGCAGCCTGGTGACACCCTGTGGACGGTGGCAGAACTGAGGCCGGGCCTGAGCACAGTGGTGCTGATGCGTTGGGCGTAGCCTTATCTGCACCCCCCCGGGGCCCCCCTCAGCAACGGCCGAGAAAATGCCCCCCAGCGCCCCCTGCCCGTTCTGTGCACTGCGTGCTGGGAGGCCGTGCCCTCATGATGCAGCGTGGCCACTGCCATGGGCCAGTGGTGGCCAAAGATGCCCAGTGAATGTCCCATGTTGGATGGGACCCACAAGGACCACTGAGGTCCGACCCCTGGCCACATACAGGGCCACCCAAATGCTCTGTTTGAGAGCATTGTCCCAATGCTCTGTGAGCTCCAGCAGCTCAGGGCTGTGCCCTCCGCCCTCTGGGGCAGTGCCTCTCTCTACTCCCTGCCCTCCCCTGATGCAGCTCCATGCCATACCCTCACACCCTCAGGCCCACAATGGCAATGGGGACCCACATGAGGGACTTCCTGGGTGAGATGGAAGCAGTGCAGCTCTGGGAGCCATAGAGGTGTGTGCAGGTGCAGCCATGCACACAGATCAGTCAGCGTGCCAGATGCTCAGAGGCCAGATCTCCCTTAAGCTGCATAGTGCAGCCCCTGCTCCCTTCTATGTGAGCAGCACTAACACATACACCTGCAGAAAGATAACCAAGAACAGGCGCACGTACAGACAAAACATTTTACTGATTCCACAGCCTGAGAAAGGGATGAGAGATTTCCTACAAAAGACTGGTCCCACTCACAAAGCAAATGCTCCAGGCCCATCTCCTCCCCGCAGCCTCCAGACTCAGAGGTGTGTGATGACACCATTGCAGCAGCTGACTTGCCCTGCAGTGCAGGGATTTACTGTGACAGTTACCTGGGCAGGGACAACCAATATCAGCCCTCGCTGCAGCAGAGCTTGCTGCCAGATCATCACCTCACAGCCTGCAAGGCAGCAGCCACCCCTGTCTCATGGAGCTTCACAGTGCCATGGTGCTGGGGACAAGTGCAGGACAGCGTGAGAATGGCCTGGAGCATTTAAAGCAGGGCACAGCAGTGCAGCCCAGCCCTGTCCTGTGCACCATGGATGCGTGCGATAGGATGTGGCCAGGCAATGTCACCTTGTGGCCCTTCAGACCTTAACAGGTGGCCAGGAATGAAAAATCTAAAGTAATTGGTTCCCCACACACCCTGCCCAGAGAGGGGCACACACTTCATAATTTCAAGTAATCACATCAAACAATTAAATGGAGAAAAAGAACTCAAGTGTGCTAGCAGCTTGGCCTGCGTGGCGATGCCAGCAGGGCTTCTCTCTACACGTGGTTTGTGTTCCCCAGCAGAGCATCTGGTGGCTCACGTGGTTCCTGGGGCCACCAGTGCCCCTCTGGCCTGGCTTTGTCACCTACCAGGCTGCCTCTCTGTGGGACAGCTGAGGTAGCTAGCGTCACTATTCTTCCACGTGGTTAGTTATAGAGGAGTTGTGCATGGCTTCAGGGCACAGCAGGGATGAGCAGAGGGAACACTCCAGTGCAGAGAAGCTGACTTAGCAAGACCCACCTGGACACTTTCCTATGCAACCTACCATAGGGAACCTGTGTTAGCAGGAGGGTTGGACTGCAGGATCTCCAGAGGCCCCTCCTGACCCCTATGCTTCTGTGATTCTGTGTCAGCCAACACATCCAAGGCAAGGGGGTCCCTGTGCAGGCTGTGCTGCAGCACAGGAGGAATCCTACCTGCAGAGTTTTCTTAAAAGCATTCTTAGCTTTTAAGAGGCTATTAGCCATCTTGAAGGCTGGCCTTCTTCAAGGGAAGATTGCTGCTGGGACCCGACCCACAGCATCCCTGCAGAGTCGCGGGTTGTCTTGTTCTGCCTGTCTTCCAGCTCAATGGACTGGTGTTCCCCAGCAGATCTCATGTTCAGTGGATTTAATCAGCAGGATGGGTTATCAGACGAGCATGGCCAGGACATGATGGGATCTCAGAAGTGCCCCGTTCTCCACCTGGCAATCGTGGCCAAGAAACAGTCACCAAAATGAAGAGCTCATTGGGAATTCACTCTAATTTTCCAGTCTGAGGCCCTTCTGTCCTTCCACTTCACTGTTAAATTCTGTTTCCAAAACAAAGTGGTTGGCTCCAGCATCAAATAACAGCTGAGCTCAACAGCCGCTTACAACTTCCTTTGCTGGGCTGCAGGAGACATACCTGCTCATGTGGGGAGGTCAGTCTGGGACAGTTTCATGCATCAGCCAGCAGACACAAAACTGAGGGACAGTAAAGCATTTTGTATCACCAGAGGCTTCCGTAATTTGTTCTACATAATGGCATCCAGGCTTTGATTCATTCTGCAACCACGGGAAGTCCATCTGATAGATGGCACACCATCCCAGTGTGTGCAAAAATCCGTCCTGATGCTCAGTTTCTCCCTAGGGAAACAAGCAATTTGGAATCTCTCCTGTTGTCGTTTGTTGCCTCCCAAACTGCCACCCTATTTCCTAGTTTCACAGCAGGCCGGATTGCGCTCCCACCACAGCAGTGGATGCGGCAGTTCTTGAATGGGAACCGGTGCCGCTGGAGGGTGCCTTCCAAGTTGGGATATCACAAGTCTAGGATTATCTGGGAGTATGTGTTCTGCAGCAAGCACCAGGAGTGCCTTCACTGAACAGCTCTGGCTGCACTTCTCAAGTGCCTGGTTCAGCGTGTGAGCAGCGCTCTGGCCGGGCATCCAGGGCTCCTTATGGCTGGGGCCAGCCGGCCGTTGCTGCGGGCTGCTCTGCTTTGGGCTGCTGGTTCTCCAGGGCTTTCTGGCGTTCGTGTATTTGCTCGTGGCGCACCAGGTGAGTTTGGCGGCTGAAGCATTTCTTGCAGGTGGAGCAGCAGTACGGCTTGTGGGTCTTCAGGTGACGCTGGAGGGAAGAGGGGCACGAGAGACTCTTGTTGCAAAGGTTGCATTTAACCACGTTCCTTGGATGAGCGCTAGGCATTTGCTGTTGTGACAAATAGGGTCTGGATGGCTCCTCCTTGGCCTGGCCCAGCCAGGACCCCCCTGCACGTGTCCCGTAAGCCAGGCTTTGGGCACTGCCATGAAGAGACCTGCAGAGCTTCTTCCTCGGCCCCATCCTCAATTCCGGGTGGGTGTTCCCCCACACCTTGGCCGCAAAGGCCCTCTCTTGTGTGTGGATGCCCTGGTGAAGGACCAAGCTTTTTTTGTCAGTGAAGCTGATCTCGCATATCGTGCACTCATAGGGCCCCTCCTTGGCGTGGCTCCGCTGGTGGATGATGAGGTTGATCTTCAGGCGGAAGCGCCTTCCGCACTCGGTGCAGGGGTGCGACCACTCGCGCACGTAGCCGCGCCGGCAGTCGCCCATCAGCAGGCTGCTGCTCGCATACCTGCTCGGCTTCTTCTTGCTCTTGGCTTTGGCTTGCTCTCCTGGGCACTTCTGGACCTCGGGGTCAGGAGAAGGTGCAGATGCCTCTTGTGAGGCCACGGGCCTTTCCTCTTTCACCTTGATGCTTACAGGACGAGAAGCCGCTTCAGAGGCCTTTTCATTTTCTGACAGAAAGATTTCCTCTGGAAAGAGACAACGGAGCCGTGAGTCACTCACCCTCAGAGCAATCTGACGCTTTGGTAAGGTCTCAAAGCACTGAGCACACTTCTTAATTGACCTGCCAACAAATCTGAGAATGCAGTGAGGAAAGGCGCAGGTGCTGCTGCAGAGTTGCTGCCCACATGCATGAAGCAGACCAGTGGGTGCCAGGGGCAGATCTGCTGCTCCCAGAACTCGGCTGTGCTGCCCTGCGGTGCCACCAGGGCAGGTTGTGCAAAAAGAGCCGCCCCAAACAATACCAACAACGGCCACGAGGTGTAGCATGATAAAAAGTGATGGGAGGGCTGCGTTCTGCAGAACCTCCAGGCTCTTTGCTCCTGTCAAACTTGCATCTGTCAGTAAATGCCAAACGTTACAGGCAAATGAGCACATTTCCCCTAATTTCTGACAGAACCATCTCCAACTCATTGCTTCTGTGGAGATGATAGAGCTGAACACTGTGCCCTGCACCAGAGCCCTTCCTCACTGGGTAGCTGTCCAAAAATCTGTCACGGAGTTCACTAGATCAATCTATGCCCCTAACAGCAGCAAAAGAAACATTCCCCTCAGCCCTCATTCCAAGCCTGCTGGAGCTGCTTCCTGCCTGCTGTGCACTGCATCCTCCACATATGGGGATACTCACCAGAGCCAAACTCTGCTGGGTCATCTTCCACCTCTGAGTCGGGATGATCTTCCCTGCTTACCTCCTTTTTCTGTGCACTCATGGACAAAACATGCATCACCACCCTGGGAAATTCTGTTTGTAAAGGAGATAAAAGCAATTTTAAACATCCCAGTTTTCTGTCTCCTTGCTTTGGTGTGATGCTACCTGGAGATGTGTGACATGCATGGTGAGGCACTGGCACGGGCTGCCCAGAGGGTGGGGGTCAGCATCCTTGGAGGTGTTCCACAACCACAGAAATGTGGCACTGAGGGACGTGGTCAGAGGGCATGGTGAGGGGGGGATCATGGCTGGATTAGATTTCAGTGATCTTTTCCAACCTTAATGATTCTATGACATCAAAAATGTGCAAGGCATCAGCAGGAATTGGAATGAAGCCACACAGCAGGATCAAAAGCAGAGAGAGATCTGGGAAGAGCCACCAAAGTGCCACACGCCATCCCTTCTGCACAGCAGCCTACTCCCTCCTCAACTCTCTCCACTGACCCTACAGATGGTATTTCTTCCATGACTTGCCTTCAGAACATTAAACATCTTCCATTTTCCCTAGTAGCACATTAATAGCACACCCCAGGACTTCTGCCTTCCCCTGCTAGTGCTCCTCTAAGCACAGAGGCCAGCCATACCCTCCTTCAGACACTGCTGGGAGATCTGACAGCAGGGACAGGAACAGCTGGGGAAGCACTTCCTCCTGGGAACTTACTTGTGCCACCTTTCAAATGGACTTTTTCTTTTCCCACAGCCTCTTTCTTCTGGTCCATCTCTTTCAGTGTTTGTGGGGGTTCCTGACTGTCTTGGATAAATGGCGCTGGGGGATCCTGGGCGTCTTGGACACAGAGCTCTTGATTCTTATCTGTCTGGGATGGGATGTCAGGATTGGACACAGCAGACTCTGCTTAGGGACAGAGAAGCAGATGACAGCATGTTTTGTTAGGAACTGGCTGCAACAACACTCTGCTGAAAGGTCAGAAACCTCAGAACGACCGTTCCTCCTTAACCCCAGAGATGGCAGGCAGGAAGGACAGACACAAATGCTACCCATGCTCTAACAGGCAAAGTGGTGCTGATTTCATGGTGTTATGGTAGGATCCGCCCATAAGGCACAACTGCAGCTCAAGTACAGAGAAAATCTGAGTAACAGAACGTGACTTGAAATCTGAATGGAGAGGGAAAAACCATGCCCATGGAACATCACTTTCTATCTCCTAAGGAGCTTCACAAACCAACCTGCAGTCATGATGGGGCTCCTATAGTTTCATAGTAACCTTCCTCCAAGGACAGAGCCTGCCCTTTGCCTGTCCGCATTCACTCCGCCTTTCCTGAAGCTTCCGTAGCCCCCAGCTTGTACTTCCAACAAGAAATAGCTCTCAAACACAGCTCCACCTCTGGCTCTGACTGCAGCTTTCCAGCATCTTCTACCTTTCTTGCCTGGCCTTCAAAATCTGGCAATTAATTTTTCCAACTCTTTCTTGCCATGCCCCATGGCTCTCCTGACTCCTTTTGCAGCCCCCAGAGCTAGCAAGGCTGCTCCAGCCTCCTCCCTCCACTGCAGGCTCCTACTTCCAACGAGGTCTCCTCTCTCAGCAAAGCAAGCAGTACTGTCTACAGAAGCATTAGGGCTGATGCGTGCAATCAGGTGAAGGACTGCAGAACTGCACAGGAAAAGGGCTGGAAGAGACCACGAGGTTTGCCCCGCTGCTGCAGGCTCTACTTGAGCCCTTTGTCTCCACAGGATTCATCTGGCCAAGCATAAACATTTCTCTTGGGTAGCTGTCCAGAAATCTGTCACAGAGTTAACTAGACAATACAATCAAAAGAACCTCAGAGCAGGTCATTCCTAACAGACATCAATGGGAGATCTGACAGGGCTGAGACAGGACCTGCCACGTCCCTCTGGCACATGTGAAACTTACCCCTGTCAGCTTCCACACGGACATCTTTTCCCAAAGCCTCCTCCATCTGGTCCATCTCTTCTGGTGCCTGCAGGGCCTCCTGGCGACCTTTGATGCACGTCTGCAGGGTACTGTGGCCATTGATGCACGTTTGTGTGGGCTCCTGACCATCTCTGAGGCGTGTCTTCAGCTGCTCCTCACTGTCTTTGCTGCAGCCCTGCATGGGTTCCTCCCTGCCTTGGATGTGTGCCTGCAGAGGTTCCTCACTGCCTGGGCCGTGTGTCTGCGTGAGCTCCTGCCCATCCTGGACCGTCTGTGGGGGTTCTGGAGCGCCTCGGTCGAGCGTCTGCGGGGGCTTCCAACAGTCTTTGACACAGAGCTCTTCACCCCTCTCAATTCGAGACAGGATGTCAGGCTTGGACACAGCATAGTCTGCTCAGAGAAGCAGAGGACAACAGGTTTTGTTAGGAACTGGCTGTTACTGTAGCAAATTGCCCGGGCCCAGACGCTGGCAGGCAGCCTGGACAGACGCAGACCTCCCACCTGCACTGACACAAGGGAGAACAGTGGTTCCGTGGTGGGATTCACACATCAGCACAGCTGTTGCTCAAGTACAGCAAAGATCAAAATAATGGACGGTGACCTCAAACCTCAAAGGAGAGGCTCTGAATTTAACATTTTCCTCCAGTCTCAGCATTAGCAGTGATTTGAAGTTGGCTGATCCATTGCTATCAGATCAGTTCAGTTCTGAGGCAGGGACAGAAAGATTCCTGCTCCATAGAGACGGCTGTGTCAGATGGATCATTTTAAGAACAGGTTTGCTGTTTCTACAGAGTAGTGCTAGAAAAATGAAGTCTCTACTGAGAAAAGTGAAGTCTCATTGTCAGTAACTGCATGGACCACCACGCTACCAGTTGCCCAAGAAACAGCTTCTGATAAGACACATCTTCTAGCCCAAACCATCCAAGACCATGTCAAATGTCCTTAGAAGGACTGAACATGATTAAGTTGGTTCTTTACCAAGGCATGTGCAAATGTCCCTGTCGCTTTACATCAGTGCTAAAAAGACAGAAAACAAAACGTCATTCAAGATGCAATTATCAGACTTCACCTAGATAATTCCTGAACTGCGCTGGAAGATCATGATGGTTCCCTGACCATCCTGAATCCTCTCATACAGTCATTAAGAACAGCATCACATATGGATTTTTTTTTTTAAATAATAGATGCTGTTTGCATTATTATCACTACTATTAACTATTACTACATATCACTTATAAGTTTTGTTTACTGGTAACAAGCAGGAAGGATGGAAAATGATTGGCTGCCCAGGTTCTGCAAGCCATGGGCAGTCAGCCCCACTGAACAAGAGAGAAACAGCCCGAGTTAAACACAAGAGAAGCTCACTGAGAGAAGCAGAGCCCGTGCCTTACCCAGGGAAATGAGGGTCTCGTAGTTACCCCTCATCACAGCTTTGTACAGATCCTTCTGCCAGCTGTCCAGTCTCTCCCACTCCTGCTCGTTGAAGTACACGGCAATGTCATCAAATGTGACGGGTACCTGGAACCACAAATTAACATTATGTTACACTGGGTGACTCGGTTGCTGCAATTACAGATAACTGGAAGTAGCACACATGAAGGGAACGCCTGGCTTTGGTCACAGGAGCTGAGGGCAAAGCACGCCTGGCCACGCGGGGGGTGCAACTCTCGGTTTCACAGGTGCTCATCTGCCCCAGCCCATCGCTGAGAGCAGAGCGCTCCAGCATTTCCACAATTTGTGGTGTTTGTGCTTCCAGGGCCCACGTGCAGAGCCAGCTGTGGGCTGCAGATCCTCAGACAACTCAAGGCGAGAGCGGCACCAGGGACAGAGCTGCAGGACTATAGCACGAAACCGCAGCCCACGCTGTACGTACGACCGGGTCTGCGCCGCGCTCTCTGCCACATCTCTGCGCACTGACACCGGCAGCAGCGCAGCTCCAGGGCTCACCACCCCAGCCGCGGGGATGGGGACCGGCCCTTCCTCGCCACCGAGGCGCTTAGGGCTCACAGCACCGGCAGGACCGCGAGCGCAGCCCCGCGCCTTCACCTTGGGCACCTCGCCCCTGGTGCCGGGGGGGCAGCCGCAGGATCCAGAAGTTCCTGTTCTTCAGCAGGTTCTCCACGTTGTCCAGGCGCTGCTGGAGGTGCCCGTAGCCCTGCAGCAGGTTGCCCAGCGCAGCCAGGTTGCTGCCCAGCTCTCCCACCAGGTTCTCGAAGGCCAACAGCCGCCGCTCGGCCTTCTCGGTGCGGCTCCAAAGCTCCCGCAGCTGCCGGGCCTGAGCCTCGCCCTGCCCCGCGGCCTGCGCGGCCCGAGCCCTGCGGGTGCGCGTGCTCCACGACGAAGCCTGCGAGGAGAACAGACGGGACGGGAGGCCGGGCCGGAGCCCAGCGCCGCGGGGCGCTCTGGGGGGAGCCCCGCGCAGCCCACACCGCGCCCGACCTCCGGAGGCGCCGCCGCCCGACCGGGCCACTCCCTCCAACCGCCGCCGGGCCCAGAGGCTCCACGCCCCTCACCCACAGCCCCAGCACCCCGGGACCCCCGGCGCCACGGCATGCACCCCCCCCCAGAAGGGACCCCCGCTGTCCCCGACCGCCGTCGGGCTGCAGGGGGCCGCTGCCGGGCCGGCCCCGCCAGGCGGACCCTCGGAACCCCGCGGGGCCCGGCCCCGACCCTCACCTCAGCGAGGCCCGGGCAGGACATGGCCGCCGCCGCCGGCACCGCGCGCCCTGAGGCCGCCGCGCTCCGCCGAGCCGCGAGGGGGCGCTTCCCGCTTGGGCGGGGCCGAGCGCGGGGATCGGGCGCCACCTGGAGGCTGCAGGAGCGGAGGGGGCGTGGCCTACCTGCTCGGGGGCGTGGTTGGATACCGTTTGGGGGCGTGGTTTAGGGAGGGGGCGTGGCTCACGTGGCGCGCCGGCACCTCGGGGCGCGCTGTGCACCGCGCTGACGGCGCCCCTGACAGCTCCGCTCCATCCCTTCTGCGCACGGGTTGCCCAGACCGGCCCTCCTCGGCTCCCCCGCTCGGCTGTGCCCCGAGGTGAGCCCCGCACCGGCACCGCGGGGATCCGGGGGGATGAGGGGTAACAGAGCTGTCCTGAGTGGAGCTGTTCCAGGGGCGGGCGGCGGCAGGACAGGGCACCCCTCAGCTCCCGGTGCCCTGGAGCCGCCAACGGAGCCACCCATGGCTGTGCCTCGCCAGGTAGGAGGGGGCAGCGCGGCTCTGGGACACGGGGAGGGCTCTGCCTCAGCTGTATCTGTGGGCACAGGGGGCACAGAACCAGCAATGCCCCCCTTGCAGGGACTCCCTGCACCCCGCAGCCCCCAGGGCGGAGCGTTGGACTCTGCGTACCCCCAACCCCGCGGGATGGCTGCAGACCCTTTTTGGCCGATTTGTGCTAATTTCCTGGCACGTCCCTGCATCACGCGTGGCATACAGAGCATGAGGTTGGGCAGCAGCACCTCTGCAAATAGCATCATGTCGGGATGCATCATGTCACTGGTGGAGCGCGAAGTGCACAAGCTGTGTGCACGGGGATGTGGTGGGACTCCTGGTTGTGGCTGCAGTGACAATTGGTTGGAGCAGATGTGGAGCGCGGGACCTCAGACCTCCGCCAAGCAGTGCTGAATGGGTGTTAGGAGGGCACAGCGCTTGGGCACTGGGTTTCTGCATGCCATGTGTGTGTGACACACAGCATCACAGCTGACACAACTCAGAGGGTGGTGAGGCACTGGAACGGGCTGCCCAAGGAGGCTGTGGATGCTCCATCCCTGCAGGCGTTCAAGGCCAGGCTGGATGTGGCTCTGGGCAGCCTGGGCTGCTGGTTGGTGACCTGCACACAGCAGGGGTTGGAACAACAGGGGGTTGGATGAGCACTGTGATCCTTTTCAATCCAGGTTCTATGATGATTCTATGACACAGGCACTTCAGGGACTTCTGTGCCATGACTCACAGTGTGCCACCAGCTCTGCTGTACCCCAGTGAAGCCACAGCTCCCACCCCAGAGGCACATCCTTTCTTGCCCCTGCAGCCTTGAATGGACCTGGGCCACATGTGGTGCCCAGTGGTGCACTTGCAGCCCCCACGAGGCCGAGTTCTGCATTGTCCCCTTCGAGGAGCAAGCTGTCCCTGTACCCCATAGCCCCATTCCTGCACCATCCCGTGCCCAGAGCAGGTGCTGCTGGAGGGACACGTCCTCCTCCCCTGCATTGCCACCATCTGTGTCTGCAGGTACCGGTGACGCTGGAGGAGGTGACGGTGTGCTTCTCAGTGGAGGAGTGGGCGCTGCTGCAGGAGTGGCAGCGGGAGCTGCACCGCGAGGTGACGGCAGCGACGGCGCAGCTGCTGGCATCTCTTGGTAGGGCACCACAGGGGCTGCTCCAGCTTTGTCTGCACGTCCCCATCCACCGCCATGGGGACAAGAGGTGGCACGGTGCAAGATCCAGCACCCACACTTCCAGGTGAAGAACTGGCGCTTCCCTCTGGCACTGCAGATGCGGACGGACCACAAGATGCAGCTGCAGGGCAGGAGCCGCGAGGACCCCCCAGCAGTGCGTCCCTCTGTGCCCTGGTGCGCCTGGTGAGGGACATCCCCCAGTTCCTCTTTGGCAGCTCCAATGCTGCAGGGCCACGTGCTGCTGCTGCTGGGGATATGGCACTGCGATCTGAGCTTCTGGGTGCAGGTGGTGAGTGTGGGGCCAGAGGGATGAAGGGGTCCATGGTGGTGGGTGACAGCCACCACTGTGGGGATGTTCCCTATGCACAGGTGAAGCACAGGCAGCTCCAGAGAATTCCAATCTCAATGTCCCGGAGGGAGCAGAACCATCATGGCATGGCAGCCCCAGCAGCACAGCGCCCACGGCACCGCAGTGGGGTCAGTACCGGTACCACAGTACCAGTGGAAGTGCTGTGTGGATGCACTATGGGGGGGTTTGGGGAGCAGGGTGGGGGCACTGAGGTTCGTGGAAATAGGGAGATCCCACATGGGTGCACTGGGAGGGAGGAGGCAAAGAGATGAAGATGGGAGTGCTGGGGAAGTGGAGGCAGACGGCATGGGGCTGATGGGAACTGGGGGGGCCATCAGCAGGGTGTGGGGACAGCGTTTGTTTTTGCAGTTAAACCAGAAGCGCTGGCTGAGAGCTCCCCACTGTGGAGCCTGGAGAGGTGCCTGGAGGAGCTGCCGAGGGGGGACCCCCGTCCACCCAGGACCCCAAGCAGCAGTGAGGGGCAGCGGGCAGAGCTGGGGGGGCTGTGCTCACATGGAGGTGAGGCATGGCAAGGATCCATGCACGTGGCATGGCATGGCGGGGTACAGTACAGCATGGCACGTTGAAGCATGACATGGCAAAGCTGGGCTGGGCACAGTGCTCTTGGCAGCAGGGTGAACTGCAGGTCCCCATGGCCACTAGCGTTGGGTTTCGGTGTCACAACTAGGGCTGTGATTGGAGTGAAACCTCTGGGGCCTCTTGGATATGGGGAAAATCCTGGGGGGGGTCTGGTTCCTGAGAGAGATTCCCCTTGGCATCCCTGTGCGGTCAAGTCCCAAGTACAGTCCTGCATTGTTGCTCTGGGACCAGTCCCTGGGGGTGTCCCTGAGGGGTTTCTGCTGCCCCCCATTCTAATGTGCCTTCTGCTGATGCTGTGTGCTCTCTTCAGCTGGGAGCATTGGGCACAGCCCCCTGCAAGGGCTGCTCGAGTGTCTGAGGGCCACCACCATCCCAAAGACATCGTGCTATTCCCCACTGGCGGCTTCCCATGGCAAATGGAGGGCTGTGGAGCCAAGTGCCTTGAGGAGGGGGGGCCAGAGCCCCTCTGCAGCAGGTGGGTGTGTAGCTGATGGCACACTTCTTTGGGGGCCCTGCCCCAAATCTGCCACTCGGTGTGCTGTGGGGTATCTGTGATTGCAGGTGACGTTTGCCCTGTGGGTCCCAGGATCCCACCCCCACAGTCAGGTTGGGGTTTTAAGGTGCAGCAGGGCACCCCTGGGCTGTGGGTTTTAGGAGGATGCAACGGTGGCAGAGGGAAGGTTTTCAGGATTTGGGGATGGGGTACAAGGCCTCGGGGCTGGCACCTTTTTGGGGTGCACAGTGCTCACCTCTACCCCTGTGTTGAGGGAGCAGGGCGCTCAGGGGATATCCCAGTGTTCAGTGCTTGGTTTGTCTCTGCAGGCAAAGCCCTGGTGACACCATGTGTCCACCAAATGGAGATCTCAAAGTGGACGAGCATGAACACATCCACTGGGGACACTGGGACAGAGGAGCAGAGGGGGCTGGAGATGAGCCCTGGTGAGTGAGCTGCTCCAGGACGCATCACAAATTCATCTACTGGGGCCAGGAGGTGCCTGACGGGTGGGGGGCAGGGATTGGTGCCATGGTGCTGGGATGGAGCCATCCTATGGCAGACGTGGTGTTTGGGTGGGGGTGGCCCTGATGGACATCTGTCCCCTCTGCTCTCTGCAGTGCTGGACGAGGCCCCGCTGCGCAGTCTGCTCCGGTGTCTGAGGTCTGTGGCAGTGCAGGCGCCGTGCCGGGACCCTGTGGGTGCTGCGTTGGCACTGAGTGGTGCTGAGGCATCACCCCGACATTGCCCCAATGCAGGTGAGCACCGCACCGCGTGCCGCATCCTATGGGTGGGGGTGTTTTGGGGACACCCCACTAATGGGTCTCTTATGCTCTCCAGGGACCACGGTGAGCCCTGCAGAGAACTGTGTGCTGGGGGACAGCTGCACTGATGGCAGCATGCGGCCAGGTGCCCATGTCCCTGCCATGGGAACAGCGACCAAGAGACCCTCCTTGGGTGGCACCAAGCGCTCACCCTGCAGCTCCTGCAGCACGGCCACAGGGGCACCCAGGGCCACGTCCGCTCTGGGCTCCAGCGCTCATCCCAGGACTTGTCCCGGGGGGGTCCCTGCATCCCCAAGGAAGCACCGTGGCTGTGGGGGAACCTTGGAGCTGCGGGCGGAGTTGGCACAGCTGCGCACTGCTGTGGCAGAGAAGCTGAACCGACTGCGCCGGGACGTGGGCACGGCACAGCGGGAGGTGCTGGGGGTGCGCGGCCGCTTGGCACGGCTGGAGCAGGGGGCACGGGGCAGGGCACGGGATGTGGCTGCGCTCATCCGCAGCCGCCGGCGCCTCCGTGATGCCATCCGGCGCCTGGAGGGACGGTGCTGGGCGCTGGAGAGCCGGGCCTGGCGCGGCAGCCGTGCGCTGCCCGACGGCTCCGATGCTGTCAGCATCCTGCAGATGGTGCTGCCGGCGGTGCTGAGCCTGGCG